ATATTTTGGCCGATGGAGTCCAGATGGACGAGGACTTCGTCGGCAAAGTGGTCCGAGGAGTGAGACAGATGATGTCGAGGGGCTTCCAGGGCTTGGTCTGCAACATGGGTTCCAAATTGGGTTTTAAAAACGGGCGCCGGGACATGACTCATCAGCAGTGCCAAACATTTCGGAGTGGTGCCCCCGGTTACCATTATTTTAGACAACCAGGTTTTCCAGGTATGGTACATCACACTGGCTCTACTCACTCTACTCGTCACCGTCCAGAAGAGGCATTGCCTGACGATGGCGGGTATCAGGTGATGGGAGCTTTCAAGTCTGAGGTTGCCGGTGTAGGAAGACGCAAAATGGCGGCTTTGTTGTATAAGCAAAACGAGCTCATGAGATCTAGGTTCGGGACGGTTTGGGGCCACTCAAGTGGGGGCTTGTTACTGCCGGTTTCTAGATTTGGGTGCTGTGGCCTCCTGGGTTTTGAGGGGACGGGCCCTGCCAGTCTTCCCAAGCATCTCTGAACGTGAATGTGCACTGCGCGCCTTCGGCTTTGCTGTCTTGGCCTTCTTCTTTGGGATGGTGACGATTAGGCTGCTTTGTGCCTGGCCATCCGCTCATTGCTCATTTCCCTAGCCCTAGCCGCCGGCATTTCTGAACAACTCATGATAGAGCAACAAATACCCTAATCCATTACGCAGAACAAACTGGTCATGCACAGAAGACGAGGCCGTCGTCTCGATCTGCATGGGTTTGTAGCTCGTTCATCCCGCTGCCACGGTGGAGTGCTTGAGTATTGTGGATTACGGCTACATACAGGAACACCCGTCAACTGGGAGGAGGTGCCTCAGAGGATTCCACGATCCAATAATCTCAAGACATGTCGCGTGATCGGATCTGACCTCGTCCTTGAAGGTCGACGGCACCCGCATGTCGCCAAGAAGTTCCACCCTCAGCCGCGACACAAGAAAACTTCAGCCCAGAAGGCAAAACATGGAACCACAATGAGACCTTGTTAAACCGGTAGTTCAACTGAGTTTGCAATCGGGGTTGCTGGGCTTGGTTGTTGAACGGATAATCCGCACGCATCAGAACTTGAGACACGTGGCTTTACAAGAGACTGCGCAACTGAGAGCTGAACAGTTTGGTGGTTGAACCCATGGTGAAGGCTCACATAAATGCGGTGGCTACAGGGAGCAGCCCTTGAACGCCTTGAACTATCGTGCAACACATGGCGCTAGCCGAGGAATCTGAAAGCGTTGTCGTGCCCTTGTGGCCTTCGTCATCGTCCATGTACACAGTGTACCAGCCCATTCCACGAGTAATGTGGACGATGACGTCGGCCTACGCCAACAAAGAAGACTGCGACTGTGAAGGAACATGGTGACCAATCGCATCAACGGTGGTTGGCACAATTCATCAACCATTTTATTACGCTTCCAACACGGCACAAACCGGCTCTGAAAAGCAGGGTTTGTTTCAGCCTTGGCGAAAGGCACTTTGAAGCGCCGAAAGAGGGGGCAGATTGAAATCCTTGCCGAAAGTGCGGGCCCCATAACAAAAAGCCGTTTCCAGCCCGATTTGATTCCTGGTCAAGTACACTATATACACACATGAGCGACATCCCAAACTCATTGTTCACTCAACGTTGCGTATGAAGGTGGGCGGGACCCTATGAAATTTTAAGGATTTGCAAAGCTACAGATCCAATTTCAAGAGAGCTGTTGATACAATCGCTTTCCGAGAAAAGTACCAAACCCAGACCACGCAAAACCAAGACAAGTCTTGGTCCTGCACATCTTGGCAGATGCTCACGTGGGCTGAAGAGCTGGCTGCCTAAACGATTAGCGATGACCTGCAATTTCCCCTGTCCCAAACCTGCCTGGTTCTGCTGGGCGAAAAGGCTTTCCAAGGCTCTGGCGGTCGTGTTGGCTGTAGAGGAGCCCGTGACTGCCATGAGTTCTCGGATTGTGCTCGCCAGCTCTCCTTGCAAAATCGATGAACACATATCACTTTATAACTTACAACTATGCCTCTGACATTGGCTTGCACTGTGTGTGCTGCAGGCTAGATGCTGGTTTGGGGTAGTGTAGCTGCCGGCTCCAGGCAGGCAGCGGAGCCAGAGAAGAGCAAGAGGCGAGTGCAATTTGCTCGCTTCAGGATACCTGGCGCTCACAACGCTACAAACATCGGGGCATTTAGACCCTATGACCCTAAACCCCGATCACCTGGCCTTCAACATCCTTCAGCCCTGAACCCAAAAGCCTGGACCCAAAAACCCTGAACCTTACTAAGGAGGCCTCAAAGCCGTAAACAGTTCCAAGTCGAGCCTTTACCTTCATAGAAGGGACTAAAGGTATGAGGGCTCAGGCGCAAGGGGGATCTTTCAAAGGGGAACCAAGCCAAAGCACATGCGTTGCAAGTCTAAACTTGCACTTTCACTTACCCAAATCTTCAATGTTCACATTGCTACGGAGCCATATATACTCACCACGCAGGAGCTGTTTGACAACCCTCAAACTCAAGAGCACACTCGTGAGACACTATGAGGCCCGTTGGCCATGCATGAAGGTGATTTAAGGGCTGATGCCGCTGCCGCCACGAAAGGGGTTTTGGGGTCTCAAACCTCTTCGCAATGAAGGCGACTGCTGGGGTTTTTGCACCAGCAACCGACTAATGAATTGGGAGAAGTTCGAGCATGTGTGTTGGGACCCGGAAGATGGTGGACTCGAAGGACCATCCAGGGTAAACTCTGAAGGCTCGTACTAGTCGCGGTACGGACGCGCAGATCGTTCGTGGTACCTGGGTATAGGGCATAGGGGTGAGTACTATACACGCCCCGTAGTTTTCAGAAAGATAGCGGCAGGAGTCGATGGCAGCAGATATTGTCCGCATTTGCCTGCACCCTTTGCGCGCAAAGTTTGCTGCTACTCCCAGCCCTGGGTGGCCACCTTTGACTAGGATGATTCAAGACTTCTGACAGTGTGTGTCTGACAGTGTGTGCGACAGTGAGTGTGACAGTGTGTATGTGTGACAGTGTGTGACGGTGTGTGACAGTGCGTGACAGTGCGTGACACTGTGTGACACTGTGTGACACTGTGTGTGTGTGTGTGTGCAAACCCTGTTTCTGAGAGAGTAGGCCAGCTGATCCAGTGACTACAGTAGTTCATGTCGGCAGGGGCGCATGGCACTCATGTCCTAGCACACGCAGCGACGTTGTGGACATGAGTGGGAAGCAGAGCTTGGCCATAGCTGCACAGCTTCAGTTACTATCTGTAGCTGTGCAGTGTTTTCATCCTCGCCGTTGTTCCCTCTTACAAGTTATATACACATTCCCTAATGAGAGATATCCAGAGACAAGATTGGGAATGTTCCGGCCGATAACCGAACATCGAGTGTGTGTGTGTGTGTGTGTGACAGTGTGACAGTGTGACAGTGTGACAGTGTGACAGTGTGACAGTGCGTGCGTGCGTGCGTGCGTGCGTGCGTGCGTGGGTGCGTGCGCGCGCCTGTGTCTGTGTATGTGCTTGTGTGTTTCTGTGTGGTTGAAAGGCATGTGGTGGTTCTGGCTCTCGCCGATGCTCACAGGATATAAGTTGATATAAGCTTTATTGCCAGTGCTAAGTGGTCAGTGATGAGTATGCAGTATGCAGTTTGCAGTGAACACGCGCACACACACACACACACACTCTCTCTGAGCTTCGCTTTCATGCATCGTGACACGAAAGTAGCAAGAGTAGTTTAAGGGTTCTTAGTGCGATTTAAGCACTGCTTTTCGGTTGAAAATGATGTCATTGCCCATTTTCCTCCCCCTCCCGCTTGGTGGTTTGTATGGTTTGTCTCTGCCTCTCTCTCTGTCACTCTCACTCCCTGCCTTTCTCTCTTCTCTCTCTCTCTCATTCCCCTCTTCCTTCTCCGCATTACCTCACTCTTTCCTCCTCGCCCCTCCCTTTTTCTTGCCATTCATCAAGGAAATGGAAGAAGGAAGTCAAGGATAAGAAAGAAGAGTGAAGGTACTGAGAAGATAGGAGGAGTTCTCCTGGCTTCTTCCCACTACCCTCTATCTCTTTACGTCTCTCTGCTTCTGTTTTTAAGGGTGGACAGGGTCTTCCACACTGTCCTCTTTTCCCTCTATTAGTCCTCTATCAACCCCTTGGAGGCCCGTTTAGGGAGGGCTCCCTCAGGGAAGCCACCTGTAGGGAACTGCAGGCCTCCCTGGTAGAAATTGAATCAAATAGAAATCACAGAAGGAGGAAAGGAGAAAGGCAGACACAGAGCAAGAGATAGAGAAACAGAAAAAGGAGAGAGACGCAACTGTCCTTTCCAGGCTGTTTTCAGAGTGACCTTAAATCCAAAGACCGGGGTGAGGGTGAACACCCGGGGGTTCGACCCCTGCCCGTCAAAAGAAAGAAAGGAAAAAGAAAAAACGAAAGACAGAAGCAAAGACAGAAAGAAAGACAGAAAGAAAGAAAGAAGCAAACAACGAACGAAGAGGAGGAAAAAGGAAGACAGCTCTCCTGCCCTAATCTTGCCTTCTTTCTTACTGAAGAGGAAGAGGGAAATAACAGCAAGAACCAAAGACAAGAGGTTTATTCCCACTTCATCGCTTTCCTCCTCAGATTTTCATCTTTTCATTTTATCTCTCTCTTCCTTCTGGCGCGTTTTTGGCGGGTTGGCCGCCACTTCGTGCCTGAGGTGAGATACCATGCAAAATCCATCCCATCATACCAGACTGCCTATACCAGGGCTCCCCGGCGCTCGACCCCAAAAGCGGAGTCGGTGGATACAGGGGCGGAGCGCGCGCTTGCAGCTGCGTGCACGGCGTGCGCGTAGTCGAACGAGCACACACACAAAGTAGCGACACCGAGACCGAAAGACACACCAATTCAGCCCCGTGTATGTCTGCAGAGTGTGTGAAGAGGTGCAGAACCTCAGCTGGGTGTACAGTGAGTTAGTGGCATCAATGCGGCAAACGGCCAAGATGTGAACGGACAAGTGTGCATCAACAGTTCTCAAGTGTGTTGTGCCATCACAAAGGCCTGGCCTGCCGCCACCTTGCAGGTGTCCAAAAAACCCGTCACGTCGGCGATGTCGAAGGTCTTGAGGTGGTTGGGCTCTTGGAGGGGTCCGACGAGCAGACCCAAAGTAATGTTCTTTGGGCTGATGCCAAGGAAGGCGATGGGCGGCCCTTCTTGGAAGAAGGCCTCGCTACAGGAGCAGTAATCGATATCCCAAAATCTTCATTAGAGACGCGCCATCCAGCTGTGCTGAAGCACCGCCAACACAATTGTCGCCTCCTCCTCACGTTCCATGATCTCGATGATCAT